GTCATTTTTTACTTTACTGTTGATTCGGAAAAAAACCTCTGTCCTGGGAAGAACCGACAAGAAACCCAGCGGGACTTTTTTTGAAAGTAAATTTTACAATATGAAAGGTAAAAACTATATACAAAATTTATTTTAGAAACAGTTTGGAAACGACCACCTCATTCCCAGGGGTTATTGTCAACTATGTTATTCATTTATATTACAACAACCCATTTTATACAGTTTTTGCTTAATGAAATATTTAAACTTAGTAATAGAGAGGCCTTGTATATTTTCTGGGACTTAATTGTAACAGCGAATCAGTAAACTATAATGATGCAGGGGTAATAGTCCGGGAGTATGAATGATTTTTTATAGGATAGGGGTTTTACACGAGCACATAGTCAACGTGATGGTAAGAAATGGCTGTTGCCCACAGACATCTACATTTCTCCTCGACTATAAATCAAAATGCAGATGCATTGTCAACCTTGAGGACTAAGATGAGATGCCTCGTTTCCAGTAACAGGGGTCTCCGATTCTCTACACCCACAATACGAAACACAGCAGCGTTGAGCTACTATTTTACGCTGGTATCCATCTATCCATATCATGGTACTCTGTGAGAGCGTGGTCCTTCCCCGGCCCACCGACCCATTTGTGCTACAACTATACTACAATATAGCTGCAACATGGCTCTACCACGTCATGATGTGTTCAGAATGGCGACTAATCTCTGAAGTTTCCTAAGCCACACGCGGCTTGCACTCAATCTTGCTTGCACTGGTACAAATGAGTCTTCACGAGTGCTCCATCGAGCACAAAGACACATTCTTTTTATGGAATAAAGGTGATGATTGAGCACGAGAACACAGTCCACGTGAGGTAAGTGGATACTGTGGACCATAGACATCTACATCTATTCTCAATTACGAAACAAAATGCAGATGCGTTTTCATCCGTGAATACACAGATAAAATGCCTTGTTTCCAGTAAAAATGGCCTCCGGTTCTCTACAATCACTATACGAAACACGTATATCAACGTAAAATAGCAACGTTAGGCTGCTATTTTATGCTGATATTCTGTGAGAGCGTTGTCCTTCCCCGGTCGAGTCGACCAATTAGTGCTATAACCATAATATAGCTCCAGCGTGGCTCTACCACGCTTGAGATATATTTTAACTGATTAAACTTAATTGATCGTAATGATGATCATGATATCAAAAGTTTTTAAATAGAATAGTTTTTAATAGTTTGCTTCGTACACAACAGTTAGCGCGAATGTATGGTATAATTGTATCAGCTTAAATAGTTGTATTTATACATAATGTGCGAATAACTTTTCAGATTAGTTGAAGTGCTTAAACCTCAAATATATTTCCAGGAATGACTTTTACAGCTAGAAAAGAAAATTGTTGTAACGCGTAAAGCGTTTGGGGACAAGTGGAGCGTAAAATCAAACAGACAGTACACGCTACACGCACACTTGTAACTTTTGCTGTTTTAAAGTTACCACTTATAACTTAAAGACGGTTTATATTTGAATGGCATGATCGAAACGTAAAGCCCACTTTCTACTATAGGATATAATATAATTTATATTACATCTCGAGATATGATTAATATCGCTCACCGTACTTTTATGGAACCGTTTACACTGAGATATAATATATATTACATCCCAAACTATAAATAATTTTTCGATTGACCGAGCGATATTTTCATATTATATTTCACCTCCTGTACCCCGAACACCCTTCCGCGCCTTCGCTACGTCCTCATCTCGTCCGTTGAAGAACACACACTGGTTAAATGATATACCTCACAGTGTGAAGGGCAACCGCGGGATATAATTTATATCTCGGGATATAATATATATTATATCCAACAGTGGAATTAAAAGTTTCCAAAGTTTGTTGCAGCGACGCGAGTTGCAATGTCGCAAACTATTTATATGTCCGACAATTACACGCGAAAATTTTCAGCTTTTGCCTGTAAATGTTATAAAACATCTCCCCCGCCATGACTGCGGGAACGATGTTTTTCCCCATCTTCAGTTATGGCCAAGATGTCAAAGTGGCACACATTCTGGCCGGGAGTACTATATGCTGCATAGACTTATAATTCTCTCCCAGCTGCACTTATCCTCACTGCGATTGTCTTCATTGACTAGTATGTAGGTGTTCCTAGCTGTTCATGTACTAGGTCGTGCCGCACGAGAGCCGTGGTGCAACGATATACGGCTCCCTGCGGCCGAAACCTCGTCACGCTGATCCACGAAGTAATTAGGTACAATACCACTAAGCAGACCTAAAAACGTTTAGATTTAGTGCACCGGTTGTATGTGGGTCAATTTTCCATGCCGTTTTGTGCTTAGTAATATAAACTTTTTGCTTAGGACCGTTGAAAGCAATTAACTTCGCAACGATATTTGGAAATACTTTAAATATCAATTTGTCGTCTAAAATTATTATATTGTTTTTATTCATTTTTCATTGTAAAGTTAAGGTTTAAAGTTATTTGGCGCGATATACGTCATCCGTTATGTTTAACTACTACAATATGTGCCAATATTTAGAGATCATTGTTATTGGTAGGTATATTATTGGTAGCATTTATCCTTTTTATTGGTAGTTATACGCCACGCTGCAGCTATATTATGGTTGTAACACGAATGGGTCGCCACGACCGGAGAAATGCCACGCTCTCACAGAATACCAGCGTAAAATAGCAGCTTAATGCTGCTGTGTTTCGCGTGATGACTGTAGAGAACCGGAGACGTGTTTTAATGGAATCAAGATAATCCATCTTAGTCCTTAAGGGTGACAACGCATCCGCATTTTGGTTCTCAACCGGGGTTAAATGTAGATATCTATGGGCCACAGCATCCACTTATCATCGGGTGGACTGTGTGCTCGTTTGTCAAAAAAAAACCTAGTTGCTGAAAGTGATGTTGTGCAGTTTGTAATGTCTCGACTCTTATGTAGCCTGTTTCAAATTTGGTAATAATATAAGGAAAAATCATATATTCTTTTAATATAACAGGGTTATAGCCTATCTGATAGTAAGTGGGTGCTGTAACCTCCGCCGATACCATAGGCCCTATCTACTGACGCACGTTTCTCCGGCTCACATTACTATACAAAACACAGCAGAGTTATGCTGCTATTTCACGCTGTTATTTCTTCCCCGAAAAATCGCTGCAACATGGCTCTACTATCATATAAGTAGTACTATCTCGTATATGATAGATTTAAATAACTAGTATGGCGACGGAGAGCAGTTGCGATACTAAAGTTTTAGTCTGAGCAGAGATCTTAAGGGGAAATATAATGTCAAATGGCTTAGCAAGATCCTTCGTTATGCCGAAAATATTGCAGCATTAATTTTGAAATAAATATATGGAAAAGTTGAGGATTAATGTTAATGATTATGTTAGACGAAAACACGATTTCGTAAAATTTTCTCGATAGAAAAAAAAATCCAAAGTTACCTCCAAAATAAACAATAAACCGCTGTTATTCATAAAATACTTTAAATAAGATCATGAAACTTTGCATACTAACTGAACTAACTATAAAGCAGTGCTTACGTTATTTACTTTTTTTTAAATACCATTATTTTCACTGTAAAAAGAAATTATCTAAACTATCGGCGTCTTGAGCTTGATTCCTGTCGCCCGTTAGTATCGCTTAGGCTTTTGAAGGGAGAAGTTGTGTCGCTTACGATCAGAATATACATTACGCAACAGTACGACGTAAAATTAAAATGGGAAATAACCGTGATAAAAATAAGAAGCGGCTGGCTTGGCGTTAAGAAACAGGCATAAATATGATAAACCTAATGAAATAAGTGTCTAACGACCTTTCTACTTACAGTATTAGTGATTACAAACATATCGGTACATAGCATACGACGCGCGGGGAAGTGGGGGCGAAATTAGAATTTGAGCTGACTTACTCTATCCTCTTAATAAATAAACTTTGTAACCATTCTTTTCCATTGCACCCAGGTCCACTGTTAAACACAGTTAGCCTCATAGAGGTGATTTTGCCATTGTTGCCACTCTTGTTGGTACCACTTCTTTTTCTATTTTCTGTTATTTTGAGTTGTTATCAGGTTCTCTCTCTTCTGCCCATCTCCTACTCCAGATTCCTTCCGTGGCCTCTTACGACTCGGGACGATATGGGGTAGTGAATATAATTACGTCACCACTACACGGTAATAAACTTTATAATTTAATGTGTTCGAAAATTAAAATACAAAATATATCGCTCGTTATTTTCCATAGAATACTATAATACACAATAGAAAGGCTGACAACTTTATTTTGTACGAGGTTTGGCGTCGCCAAACCCGATTGACAGAAACCTGTGTTGACAGACTGAATAAATTTACACATTTTAGACTTTTGATGTTCAATATCATCATTAAAAAATCGTTCAAATTTTAATACATATTTATTTGTAAATAGGGTGAAATTTGGCATTTTTTAAATAATTTGCATGCGAAATTTGGCAACGATTGTAAAGTCAAAACACATCTCGTGTTGACATTTATGCGTGAGAATTGACGTGTTAGTGACATTCTGGTGGCTACGCGGGCTCCGCCCACTCCCCCGTTCTATTATGTATGTATTATAGTATTCTATGTTATTTTCTGCTCTTGAATGCGTCATATCATGTTCGTCAGCCGACTCTGTCCGTAACGTCTGATATAGACCGAGGCGAATCGGATCACTTTTTCTTTGAGGTTGAGCAAATCATACTAAAGTGTTATATAATGTTATTTTTATTGATAAAAACGTAAGAAGTAACAATCAGCTATGAAATAAACATTTGAAAACTTAAATCATACATATATTCTCTTAATTAGCTATTAAAAACTAAAAAAAAGAAAAATATCCGAATCGCCCCAATTTTCGGGGTGAATCGGATCGTACACATGTAGGTAACAAAATTTTAAGTTTCTTATGACTATAGCTTTGGAATCAGTAAAAAATTAATAATGAGATCAATTTTAATTATCGGCACATAATTCACATATATATGGTCCTTTTTCCTCCCCCATATCAGCACATTTTTCGTGGCACCATTCTTCGCAGGCATTGCACTGAATCCAATCCTCTGATGGTGGATGAACGAATATTTCGGAACAGTAAATGCAGTGCCACTCTCTATGTTTTGGAGATGAACTCTTAATTTTTATCGCAAGCTTTGCTTTATTCTTCATTTTCTTCATAGTATTTTCTTTGCCCACAGCCTTTTCCTTATTTTCCTTGGTTTTATTGTCTACCTTAAATTTCTTCTTTGCTTCTTTTTCGAGAAGAGTAGTCTTATTCTGAGGTGATGTTAAATGCAAGGCCAGTTTTGAAACTTTACGAATTCTTTTAGAAGCAATTGGTGACTTTAAAGGTGATGGAAGAATTTCTTTAATTATTTCTGCACAGGTGGGAGGCTGGGCTTCGTCAGATTGTTGTGAACTTGTGGATGGCACTATATTATCAAGTGGTTTTGTATTTGTGGCTTGCACGTGTAGCTGCATTTTTTGGGAACTTGGGGACTGGACTTGGGACTCTACAATGTCCGACTCTTGATCACCGATGAACTTGTGGTCAGGTATTGCATTGGCGTTTAGTGGAAATATTCCAGTCTTTTCGAAGCCTTTTGTAGCATTCCCAACAGTGGCAGCCTGATTCCAAGCCCGTTGGAAAAGTGCTCCGAAAGCGACTTTTGTGATTCCTTGATTGGGATGTGAATGTTGCCATGCTGTAGCTTGTTGGTGATAATAGGTTTTGAGCGGTTTGAAAAACGATACATCGAGCGGTTGCAGGGCATGTGATGTGTGTGGAGGAAGAAGTACAAGTTCAATTTCGAAAGAGTCACACAAGTCTACCACTGAGTAGCTGGTGTGAGACGCATGCCCATCCAAAATTAGAACTACTTTTCCTGGGGTCCGGTAGCGATTGAAATGTTGCAGCCACAACTTAAAAGCTTCTTCGGTGACCCAGACGTTTTCTGTCATGGCAACTTCAGTACCAGGTGGCATACCTAGGAGAAAATCGTCACGTTTACGTACACCTTTGAATAGAACAAATGGAGGTATGTACTGTCCTGCTGCATTCATACAGGCTAGAACGGTTACATTTTCACCTCGTTCAACACTAGTCATGCTGACAACATCTTTAGCACCTTTTTGGGCTATAATGTTGGGTGGGCGGTTACTAAGCGGCATACCGGTTTCATCAACATTGTATACACATTCAGGTTTTCCTCTTAAATTGTTGTTATCTACTACTGTTTCCAAAGTATTAAAGAATTCTGCTACTTTTTCCTTCTTCATACCATCACACCTTGCTCTTTACAGACCCTCCGGCTTCCGAATAGTTAATTTTTTATTTCTTTGCATGAAGCGATGAAACCAGTCCTGGCCAGCCATTCCAGCATTTCTGTCAAATTTGTGTTTTATGTTTTGACGTTCTGCAAATTCAAACGCGTACTTACGTACCGCTTTGGGTGTAATTCCGAAGCCACGACTTGCCAAGTGCAATAGCCGGTCAGCTAACTTCTTTTCTGCGTTCTCATCTAAAGCTGGCTGTCCACCTCGACGCTTAATAATACCCCTGGATAAAGTAACTCTTCTCTGTAAGCTCGTGAACGGTACTGCAAAATCTCAGCAGCCTTACGTAAGGTCAACTCTTTGTTCTGGACTTTATTTACAGCCTCTTTCATTTTTTCTTGAGACCATTCTCCGGCATCAGTCTTTCTTCTGTACGTGCGAACCATCTACAATGAAATAAATATAAATCAATAACTTCAAACATGTCATAAATCAGTTTAAAAGTGTGATCCGATTCGCCCCTGACGATATGATCCGATTAGCCTCAAGACTTTTGAAATAAATATTTTAGACGTTAACCTCTAAGATCATACTTAAAAGCGAATTGGTTCTCTAATATAGACACCTTGCTTAACAATATAAACCAATATAGTTGAGTTATAACACAAATCCGCAATATGACACAAAGAAATCGTAAGTACGTACCTTAGATGAGCGCCAAAATTGCAACACACACAAACGACCGAGTCGCTGACTAGCGGCGTCGCCACTGATTCACAAGTGCGATCGAAATACTGCCTATGTCGGGAGGTGCGGGGTGAGAGGAGATACGCAAAACGCCGGTTGAGTGCGTTCTATGTGAATGCGATATTTGAATTATCAACAGATTTCTTATTTTGATCCGATTCGCCCTGTGATCCGATTCGCCTCGGTCTACCCTAGTCTTTAATTGTTGATGGATAATAGACAAGAAAAAAACATAAAAATAAAATAGTTAATAAATAGCTTTTATTATTATATTATACCTACTACTAGAATTCTATATAATCAACATGCAATATAAAATATAATTTAGTGTTGGTGCCGACCCATTACTGTAATTCACTGGCAACTTAAATTGGACGTGTCACAAACATATCTATAACTATGCAATATTTAAATTGATTTTAATTGATTGCCGCTATTAAATTAAATATAGGTAAGTCAAGTTAGAGTTCTACTTTCAAATACTATAAGCATATGACTTTGTAGGAATGTACATTAAAAATACAATTAGAATAACGTCCTTGCTTGCCTAGGAGTCCGTGTGGATTAATTTCCGTATGTCCTTATTTATGCTCTAAATCTAAATAGTCTCGTCAATTTTATAAAAGGCCCCACTAGGCGATATAGGTCTAACATTTTTTTAAATCATCAACAACGTTTTTTCTTTAATATAGTAACTTAACTAAAAATAATAATTAAAATTATAATATAATATTTACAATTAATACTAATTCTACACTACATAAAAAAAACTATAATATAGAAATCTTAAACAAAAAATTTAAATAGTCAAAAAGTCCTGCTCCCCGTGGTATAGAGCCAAGAACGCTGGGTGCGTTTCCTCGCTGAATAGCTATACTTAGCCTTTGAGCGCGGAAAGAACCAGCCTTCTTATTACCAGCAGCGACTATCAGCTGTGGATACAGTTCCTTTATGAATATTTCACTCCACGTAGACCCCACGGACCGATAGTCTCTACTGCAAATGGCACAAATATGTAGTCATTTCTCAAATTTACATTTTTTTAAAGTTATCACTTTTCGGAATATCAGCCATGAGGCTAACTCATCACTCAACGAACAATAAAACTAAAACATATTCGATATTATATATTATGGGCCAAATGATTAATCAAAGCACTATTTAATAAGGCCCGGGCAATATGAATAATGCCAAGTCAAATTGGGCAACGTAATTAGTACTGATTCAAAATTAGTTATTTATCACATTGTGTGGTCATAACCTAACCCATCCTATCTTTTTATTACTCTGCCCAATAAGTAACAGACTTTACTGATAAAGCCGGTCAATTTTATTATTTCAATAGTTTTTATTATATTGCCAACTCATATTGGGCATTTTTCAAGCTATCTGAATAATATGGACATTGCACTATTAATTACTTGGTCACACAATAATAGGCGGCAGATATAGACCTTATCTATATCTAGCGCCTATTTACAGTGCTTGAACTGCTGAGCTGTGCTCCTGTTTGATGCGTATAGGGAGCCAGTTAAGTTACAGGCTGTGAGGAATTTCATCTTAGGCCTCAGAGGTAACTGCCTATCATTCTTTCTTTGAACTTGACTACGGGTGTATGTTAGCCACTTACATACTTATTCTTATCCAATAATGTATGCAATATCTGATACGACTTAGGGACCTTCAAGAAAAGAGTTTACTCCTTTCTAAAAGGCCGGCAACGCACCTGCAATTCCTCTGGCGTTGGATCATGGGCGGCGGTAGTCACTTAACATCAGGTGAGCTGCATACTCGTTTGCCCCCTCTTCTATTAAAAAAATAATTAAATTGGATGGTACAGTCTTTAAGCTAGTCAGTACTTGCAACCCCCGAAAGTAAATTGTGTTCATGGGAGATCATGTCACTAAGTACCTACTATAGTTAGACACTTACTAAAGTACGTGTGGGTAACATGGTTATCCGGTTAATATGGTCATTTTCATATAATTCAAAAACTACAGCTTTGTTTGCACAGATGCTTCTGTCATACGATAGCTCTTCATCAGTAAATCAAGTAATAAAGGGTCAAAAAGGCGCTGCTTCATCGAGGCCATTTTGACAGTTAACATTATAGTAAATATTTTAGTCGATTTTAGTATTGTTGTGTAGTAATTTTTTTTGATTTTTCGAACTGTTCCTAACTATTGCTAAATTTTGTTTGTTATTATTTTCTCAATATATTAGTTATTAACGTATACGACTATGTATTTTTGTCTCTGCCTTCCTCCTAGTTTTGGTTTGATAGGGCGGCAAAGCTCACTATATTACCCTCACCTAACTTAAACGTAAAAAATAGGTTTAACGCTTGCAACTACTGTGCACAAGACTGTTTTAGTTTTAGGCCATGTTATGAAGCATGACAGAGTCAAGTTGCAGGGTCGGCACGTATGGCAGATTATATACAGGTTGTCGTCATGTTTTTCTAAACCGACACAAAGTTTTTCAATAAGCAGTTTCATTGATGCGAGCATAACTTGCGCTAATAAATTTAGAAAAATGCTCATCCCACTCACTATCATGTTTAAAGATGTAATATCATCAAACAAAATACACAGTTGTTGAAATGTGCAAACAATATATTATTGTTATCGTCCCGCTCGTCACATGCGCGTCAGTTTAGGGTATTCTTAATTTAGTCCATCTTCAATAAATCACCAATTTGTTCGACAAACTTCCCTCTGGGGCGTCCCTTGCCGACTGTGCCATTCACGTTCATTCACTACAGCATACTTTTGGTTTGTCATTCTTTCCTCGTTCATTATTTCTACATATCCAAAACACTGAAGCATTTCAACCAAAAATTAATATTCAAAAACACGACCAAACATTGCGTAAAGCACCCAAACGGGAATAAAAAAAAAAAGAAAAACCAAAATCCGTAATTCAATGTGTAGTGTTCGCGTAAATTTAAGAAATCATTACTGAAGCATTTCTTTCTTAATCTTAGTTACTATATTATATTGCAAACCACACTTCTATCACTTAAAGTCAGCCCTAATATACTTCTTAATGACTACACTACACGGATTTAATTTTACTTTAATGCTTCTGCTGCCACACTCAACTTTCACTACCATACAATAATAGTAATGTCCTCCAGACCTAATTTCGGTCAGCCATCGGCGCGGGACGGTATTATAGTGTATGTGTAAGCACAGGTGCACCCTCTAATCCCTCACTGTCATAGTCCGATGGAACGTTAATCTGATGTAAAGTTGGTTTTGCGCCTTATCTCTCTGTGAACGAAAGATAAGGCGCAAAACCAACGGCTTTACGTGCTTTTCGAGGCATGGGGGTGAAACACTACCAACTTTTTGACTCCAAGCTGCTACTAAGAAGTTCTTGCCAGGTAAACCCAAAAACTAATTTTTGGCCTGACTGAACCCTGGACCTCATGATTAGCAATCGCATTTAATACCACTACACCAACGAGGCAATCAACCAAGAATTAAGGTAGGAACAACAACAACAACAACAACAAAACAAGCACAGCATTGTGAATTGCCATACGTTCTTTTGGGACACATTCGGGCTTCCCACAATAGAGAGAAGAGCCCCATTTACTCTGTGTCCTGCAATCAATATTATTAAAAATAATAATAGGTAATAGTTATAGTCCAAAAATAACTTTTATTGAATAATTTCGAATCAAATAATAACAACCACTGTAGCATTTGAACATTAGAAAATAATTAACGTTAACTTTTCCCCGCGGCTTTGATTGCGTGGACTTCGCTTTACTAATAATTATTGTCCCATACCAAAATTAGCAAAGCGAGACACCTATGGAATGACCGCGTTGTCTTTCAGTGTGTCTGTCTGTCTATCACAAGTGTTGTTTTCAAAAACTATTTCAGACAGATGATTGAAATACATACTAATATCGTATTCCATACCAAAATTATGTCACGACGGCCAGTCGGGTTATAGAACAGTGTGTGCGATAGCATGGGTGCACTCTCTCTTTCCTCAATCTCATTGCCTGATGGGGCGGTAATATAAAATAATACGCAAGACGGAAAACCTTATAGGGTAGGACCACCGGCTTTGCCGCTAACTTACTGACTCCGGGCTGCTACTGTGACATAAAAACCCAATCACTACTTTCGGCTCGAGCCGGGATTCGAAACCGGAACTACATGATCAGCAATTGCGTTTACAACCTTATGAAGCGACAGTAGCCTAGTGGCAGGGCGCGGACCGCGAACTCAAAAAGG